ATAGCTTTACCAACGTTCCTAGAATTGCGGTGACATGAACAGGTAACATTTTTTGGTAATAAAATTTTCCGGTTACAAAATCTTCGGTTATGTGCAGAATAGACCTTTTATAGTTCTAAAAGTCTATAATACGAAGGGGCAGATGCCGGTAATGAAATTCTTAAGTTTTTTCAAGCAAGAGTTTTAAAAACTCAATTCTATTGACACTGTTTTATATTTCTATATACAGTTCACTAGTTTCGAATCTAATATATGTAAATGTATGTATCAAGATGTGTCCTTTGTGCTCGACGGTTGCGATGTTTGTTTGGACTGATTTCGCACCAGTCATTAGCCATGTGTTAATGTCAGAAAACGTCTATACATACGCGTTGAAATACATACATACGTATACATATATGTATTTTTCAATTCCAGATATGTTTAAATTTTAAAGTATAAAATATATCAACCCTGGGAAAAAAGTATTAGTACTGAATGGTAAAAACGTGTGCATTCATTTTAAATATACAATCATGTGTGTGTGGGAATGCTTCTGTTACATTCACATTCCATACTGAATGTCAATCTACCATTCAAAAACACAACACAGTTTATTTGTTTCCAAGCATTTTAAGCCACTCAGGAATGAGGCTTTTTTTATACAAACAAACAATCAAAATTTTGAAAAGAATGTCGAGTGAATGCAGATCCTATTGATTCAATCATTTTACAGCTCTGCTAAATACATGGAACTTCGTTCTATATTGCAGTACATCCATTGCAAGATTTCATTTAGTTCACTGTTTCCCCAAACAAGTGAATTACTTGTTGAACCGGGAGCACGACTGTCTACATACCGTATCACAATGTTGTGGTAACAAGCCTACAAAAATAAACATAAAACAATTAAGAAAAGGAATTGAACATTACTTAATTGAAACTTACAATCATTCAACCTGTGAAACCTTTTCCTATTTAAATACTGATGTTTCAATCGATTTGGTGCAACAATACCAATTTGCGTTCCGTCCACACACCCGATGATTCCGGGTATACGAGATTTTCGGAAGAAAAAATGTCTGGTCCTCAGTTATTTGTATACTTATCCATTCATGGAAAATTACGGTTTGTTATATCTCCAACACTTCTTTTAAGACCACCGATACCGTTGCTTTTTGCGAAGCCTATTTCGAAATTTGTACCAATGCCCTTTTGATAGGAGCCCTGGTTACGCTAGCATTGTGCTGCAGCGCATAACATGAGTACTGCCACAAATCGAATCTGTTTAATGAGCTTTTCATACATTCGATTATCCGACGCAGCGCATGAGGGGGCATGACAGCGAAGTCTGGAGAACTTTGATTTTTCGCTATGTGACATTTTCAAAGAGAGATGCCACTCTCATTGCTCTCATTACTCTGTTCCAGTACTTATCAGATTTATAGGATTTACTGAGAAGTCGTTCTTGTACATAAATTGGGGCATATCTATAGTCAAAATTAAGTGGATTATAAAGTTAGTTGCCGCCATTTCATTGAAAATCATGACAAAAAGTAGCAACTAACTTAAGTGTCGACTTCATTTAGGCTATGAATACGCATTTTTCAGTTATGTCTGCCTAACTATTTCCTGGAGTACTGGAACAGATTAACTGATTATGTCAGATTATGCGATCTATGCCGAGTATAATTAAACCACTGCTTCACATGCGCTGCTTCTCTATGCCCTGCACTTGCAATATAAGTATAACCAGCGCTTTAGTCTTTCCATGCTGCTTTACTGCCTAACCAGAATGGTGAGGCTGTGGTATGTAGCAAGAGCTGTCAAAAGTAAAAATGTTCTAAATGCTCTAAACTGCCCATAATATGTAGCTGTGGTTATGGTGTATTATTTCTGATGTAGCTGATACAATATACAAGGTTCGATAAACTGACAGTTGTCTCTCTCGCACCGCTCTCTTAGCAGTGACACCGTGTTGCTTCTTTGCAAATTTACATAGAAACAGTGTAGCTTTGGTGTGAAATAAAATTATAAGCTTTTGTGCAATATGTTTATTTGTATATGCATATGAAGCATATTTAACTGATGAAAACATAAACATTGGATGTTTACATCAATCTTATCTAGTCTTATTTTAATTTAGAGTTATTTTGCAGTTTTTATACAGCTAAATAGCACATAAATTACGTAATTCACGTAGATATATCAATATTACGGGGAAATCTCTAGCTATTTGTACAACGATTTAGGGGTGGGGGCGGAGGGGGAGGGGCGTGGCTCCCCAAGCCTCCCCTAAACGAGAGAGGATGGACGCCGTTTTAGGAAAAGTCAACCCTCATCCCCGTCCCCCACATAAAGACCCCTTGGGAGCTGTTTGAAAACAGCGGAAATTTGGATTTCTTCCAAAACGATTATAACCCTCACTACTCCTTTCTCTGTTGCCCAAGAAGAGGGGCTGAACACCTTTTGCAGAGAGCACCTTTCTGCGTAGGCGGCCTTCGGCCGCGCTTGCGGATTATAACCCTCACTTAGTAGAATTCTCCTTTCTATGTTGCCGAAGAAAAGGCGCTGAACAAGTTTTGCAGAAAACAACTTTCTGCGTAGGCGACCTTCGGCCGCGCTTAGGGATTATAACCCTCACTTAGTAGAATTCTCCTTTCTATGTTGCCGAAGAAAAGGCGCTGAACAAGTTTTGCAGAAAACAACTTTCTGCGTAGGCGACCTTCGGCCGCGCTTAGGGATTATAACCCTCACTAAGTGGAATTCTCCTTTCTATTTCGCTAAAGAAGAGGGGCTGAACACCGTTGTAGAGATATCTCGTGGATATTTTTTTTTACAGCTCAGCTCGGAAACTTGCAAAAAATACCATATTTCCAACCGACATTATTAATAAATTAGTCCACGGATATAGTAAATTATATTTTTGTAATAAAGCGTGAACTGTTGTCTACAAGTGTGTGTAAAAGGTTTTTGATTCGATTCACGCGTTTGGGCACAGCAACCCATAATCGTTGTACAAATTCATAAAGAGTACCCATATTACGTGCAACATTTCGTTTAAAATGCCAGATTTCCTGCAAATACATTAGAATTTACAAAAGGAATTTCAATACTACTTGCCTACTTTGCGTACTTTTCTACTCCCATTTTCGCAACAAGGGATTGCATTCTTGCCCTTTCTCTGTCCTTCGTAAATGCAACCTTTTGTAAGGGAGTGTCAAACCGCAGCTGTCAATAATTATCTAACCTTGTATTATTGAATCATGATGTTGTCCTACATTCTGTTTAGCCAGTTACTCAACGTCGTACTCGTGCCTTTAGCTTTTACATATTTTTAGTTCAAATAGATTTAAATTATTCGAAATTTATTTTTGAATATACGTAATTTTTTGACGTTTCACTTTCGTCGCTTTCTGTTTTTGGCGCTGGCAACACCATATATTATGCTAACTAGTACATGCGCTAACCATAATACTGGACAGCATGATTCAATAATACAAGGTTAGATAATTATTGACAGGCGCGGTTTGACACTCCCTTACTAAGGGTTGCATTTACGAAGGACGGAGAAAGGAGAAGAATGAAATCCTTTGGTGCGAAAATGGCAGTATAAAAGTACGCAAAGTAGGCAATTAGTAGTGAAATTCCTTTTGTAAATTCTAATGTATTTGCAGGAAATCTGACATTTTAAACGAAATATTGAACGAAATATTAATATATCTACGTGAATTACGTAATTTGTGTGCTATTTAGCTGTATAAAAACTGCAAAAGTACTCAGAAACAGAATAAAACTACTATGAGATTTATGTAAATATCCAATTTAAAAGCAATTTATGTTTTAATCAGTTAAATGTGCTTCATATGCATATACAAATAAACATATTGCACAAAAGCTTATACTTCTATTTCACACCAAAGCTACACTTTTTCCAAGTAAATTTGCAAAGAAGCAACACGGTGCCGCTGCTAAGGGAGCGGTGCGAGAGAGACAACTGTCAGTTTATCGAAGCTTGTATTATTGAATCATGACTGGATGCGGTAATGATTATAGGTGTAATACCAGTGTGCGGACTATACCACATCTATACGGTGACCATCCGTCCTGTATTATACGGGACAGTCCTCTTTTTTGACCCATTGTCCTGGTAAATTATTTACGTTATACGGGACGCCAAATGTTCTGTATTTCTTTTGATGCCCTATATTTGTCCCGTATTCGGTGTCTGGTATTTCGGAGCTTTAACCTCTCATTAAAATGGCTTGCCTATGAGGCAGTTTTAGGGGATATTGGTATATGATTGTAATTTTCTCTATGAACAGGGCATGCATCATGTAACTTTGACACGATAGTCGTTCAGACACTGATTCATGTATTTTTCTTACTTACTATCGTGTCGACTAATGTAGTGTCTTTAACAGTTTGAAATTCACTATACTAGAGTTCACTTTTTGATCGGCAGTTTTTTACAACAAACATACGGCACCGTTATGGCGCCGTTTCGCACAAACGCACAGCAAAGCAACAAAATAAACGCTAATTTTTGTCTTTCGCATTTTCGCATCAAATAGTGAACTCTACTAATATTTTTTTTTGTTAAACTTCGATATTTAAAATTTTAATAATAAATATAACAATTTTGAAAATAAATTCAAGAATAAATTTTTACCCTGGTGTGTCAATGGTGGTCTCGGGTTCAACTAATAGTGACAAGGATTTTTTCATTTAAAATTTGTTTGTTTTATAGCACATTTTTATCTGATACTTTATTGCTATAAGGTAGCTAAGCAAAGGTGAGTCTAGCGGTCTCCAAAATATTTGTGCATATATTTTTTTAAATTTCCATTGATACTGCTTCAGCTGGAAGATGTGAAGGCTAAGTAATGTGAAGAGAACATGATGGATAATCTCTTTATAATAACGGGCGCTTAGTTATAGGATGTAGCGAGAAGTGTTGGAGATAAGATAATAGTCGTTTAATATATTAGCGAAATTTAAAGCATACTTGAATGTTTGCGATGCTTTCGGAGAACATTTCTGTTAAAAATTGCGTGCATCTTTTAACGCATCTTCAAAAGGACTATGCAGTACTTTATAAAAAGATTTTTTTTTTGCTGTAGTTAACACAAAAATCCCATAAGATACATAGGTCGTGTCAGCTGACATAGTGGCTGATTTTCAAGAAGCAAGACAATCGGAAAACACGTGTGGAAAATGCTGCTCTTTTGCTTCTCTTTTAAAAAATTGTCGAACATAATTTGTATGAAAATAATGCGTAGCATCGGCAACAAAAAAAATCCAAAAATTAACGGTAAGTCTCATCGACTGCACTTTGCATTTTATTACACTAAAATTTCACGATTTTTTTTACAAATTTTGCGGGGTAAAAATCTCGAGAGAAATATCCTACAGATTTGTGATGTTACTATAAGAATGCTGTTTAAGATCTGTAAGTTTTTGTGAAAAAATTGGAACATTTTTTTTTGTCCCGTATTTGGCTCCCACAAATATGGTCAGCGTACACATCTACCACCGTAGGCTTTAAATCTACAACATTTTACAACTGTACTCATTTTACAATGTGGATTATTTTGTCATCCTTAATCTTTTGTTATTTTTTGTACTTGCTGTCGTGAATTAGACAATTCTGAATACATTGGGCCGTAGTTATAGTCAAAATAAAGTCGACTCTAAAGTTAAAAGCAGCTTTTTGACATAACTTTCAATGGGATATCTGTCAAAAAAAACCTGCTTTTAACTTTAGAGTCGACTTTATTTTGACTATAACAGCGGGCCATTGGCTCTAATTTTTACATTCCATTTTCTAATTGATTCCTGTTTCTTTTCAACACGTGAAAAATTTGCTAAGTGCTACGATCAGTAAGTTGATCGAATTCAGCTGCAAAATCAATAGCTTTGGCAGGAGTACACAAAATGGACCAGTTTGTGGAAAAGGGACTTTCCAACGTGAGGTGTGAGACATTTCAACTTGTTTTTGCTCAAACTTTAAATACTTTTTCTTTATCCACTTATTGGATAAGTTTCAAAATCTTAACACTTAAATTTACACAGAAAATTGACATTTTTCAAGAATGAAAACGATGATTACGGCCTCTCTGAGTTGATGTTACCATATTTGAAAATTAAAAAAAAAACTTCTTTAGCTTGTGGTTGGTAGGACAGTATTTGGTGACGACGAGTCATGGTTGAGTATGCAAAGTTCGTGAGTAGAATGAGCTCTACTGGTTTCATATGGATATTTATTATACTTTTAATAAAATAACATTATTTAAACGATGGGAAGCTTTCGTATTTTCAAAGTTAGGTTAACAAAAAAAACAATTTGGCTGTGGCGGGTGGGACATCCAATAAGCATTTCTTTGAAAGCTGACAACTTTTTACCATAAATCTATTTTTGTAACTACTCAGCACTGTTTCTGAGGTGTACTTTCTCTGTGGATAATTATTACTTTCATTGTCACCTTAAATACAAGAGCAATGCCTTGACAACTTGATGAGAAAATACTATATCAGAGATAGTCGCAGTAAGGTTGCGTTTGTAACAATAAAAGTAGAGAAAATAGTGAAAACTAAATCGATAAAAAAGGGGTTTTCTAAAGAATTATTCCAATTTCTAAATACTAATGCCTCACTGTTGTCACAGATTTAAACGCAATCTATATTTTAAGAATAAATACTTTTCACGAGAAAACAAAGCCATCCAAAAACATTGCCGGTGGAAGATAGTTCCGGAGAAAGCCCATTATTCTTTGGAATACATATGTATGTGTTTGGTTTTATTTTGCATTAGTAATATATGTATGTATATGTGCATGTAAGTATTGTATCTTTTATAGACTAATAAAAGATTTAAAAAACTAAAAGATTTTATTACATACATACATATATACTATGCATATGAAAATCTACCACATGGTTTTGGAATCTGTCACAATTTTTAAGGCTTATCTACCACCAAAAAAATGTTTACAGTCCGCAAACTGGGTAATAAATTTGTTTCATTAGTGATTTTGGATATTGGATACAGTCCCATCATTAGCGCACACAAGGGGTGGGTTTTGGGGTTCAAACCCCCCCTAAAGCTAATAACCTCAAATACAAACTGTATCTTAAAGCTAAGAATCCAGCTCTCAAGGAAATCATAAGAAATATTTATTATAATTTCTGTTGCTTGATAAAAGCGCTTTGCTTTTGCTGTAAATTTTCATGAGAAAATAAATATACGACCATTTTTTTCTTGAGAGCTGCAAACTGGTTTAAGAAATTTTGGTAGAAGAAAATTTCCTTTCCATTTCTTGTCCGTCGTTTTATATGAATTTTTCGTTTTTCTTAAGAGTTCAGATAATTTTTTCGGTATTCGAAATATTAAAAAAATGTGGCAATCGTGAAAAATCACCATATCTATCGAAAACCAGAAACCAGAAATCGAAAAATTTAACATAAAAGTGTAAAAATTTCTTGGAATCAATAAATATATTTTTACTGACTCTTTTTTAAAATTTTTTATTAGGTACTTTTGAAAGTTGAGCTCATCTTGAGTTTATAGAACTTTTTATTAAACAAGTAGTTTTTAAGGAAAGAACACAACCGACTTCAATTCTCATATACAAATTTAGGTGTACCGTTAATTTCTTCATGATCCAATCATCGGATCTAAACCAAATTACGGGACGACCCTTGAGGTGTCATCTTTCCAATAAAAAAAGAATTATTGAAATCGGTTCACGTGGTCCAAAGTTATGTATTCCGACGAAATGATAACCTCCCCTTTTTTTGAAGTCGGTTAAAAATGTTTGAGTTCTGTTAATCTTATGTAAATAAGGTGCAGTTTATGAATATTAAGCCGTTTATTTATTTATTACATACTGTACATAAAACTTGCATAAATGTTTTTCAAAGAGCGTATTATCTGAAGCGAATTTTCAGTATATTCCGGTGATATATCTTCAGAAATATAAAACTCCCCCCCTAAAATATATTCCTGGGTGCGCCCCTGAGTCCCATTACCTTTTTTGTCAAAGGCAAAGCATTATCTGCAACAAAACAGTATGGCATTTGCATACCGTTTTGAATAATTGGATCCGTTGTAGGCATATTAATACCATCAATTTCCAGCCAGTGGCTTAAAGCGGAAGCTCTGAAAACTCCACCGCCGCTGTTCCTTCCAGCATAATAATAATAAATAATAGATAGGCGCTTACACATATGTTACTGTTTGGCCGAGCTTCTCTTCCGATTTGTTGCGTGCGCCTTGATGTTGTCACACAAAGCGGAGGGACCTACAGTTTTACGCCGACTCCGAACGGCGATTGTATTTTTATGAGAAGCTGTTTTTCATGGCAGAAATGCACTCGGAGGTTTGCCATTGCCTGCCGAGAGACAATCGCGGTTAAGAAAAACCTTTTTTCTATATTTTTTGCGATGTTGCTTTGACCAGGGTTTGAACACAGGCGCTGATGAGCGTTCCTTCCAGCATAGCTTGTGTCAATAAGTGTAAAGAAGCGATTTGCATCACATACGGCAAGAAGAATGATTGAATGGTAGCCCTTATAATTGGAGTTGATCCAGAATGAGGTAGTTGATGAATTCTTATATGCTTGCTATCCATAGCTCCCAAGCAGTGGGGTATATTCTAAACTTCAATGAAACGTTTAGGATGCTTTCCATTTCTAGACAACCGGTCAGGTACGAGCATGATTTTTAATTTCGACCAAACTCAAATACATTGTTTGTTGGTCCAAATAATGAGACACGTATTTTTTCCTTTGGCTCGGAAAAATTTTTCGGCCGAATTAAACGCGATTTTGTTTTTCAGGCAAAAATCGATTATTCGAATTGACAGTGAGAATTTTTTTTTTAAAGGCCCATAACTTTGTCAAAATTTAATAGATTCCAACAATGTTTTTACTCAAATGTCAGTAATTCTTGTCACTTCAAGATAGAATGATATAATTATTGATTTTCATTATTTAAAATTTTTTATTTAACAATAAACAAAAAGTGCAAATTTTTTTTTAAATTTAATTTCTCAAAAAGTGTATTTTTTTTTCTCTCAAACTTTTTTACCGGGAAAGAGACACTTTGAACTACAATCAACCCAAATCTCTAATAGCGAAAATTTTTTTTTCTGAGTTATGATTTTTTATAGAAAATATACGTTTTTGTGGTACATACTACAATATTCTTATATTGTTTAACTAAATGGAACATATGTATGTAATATATCAGCAAAAAGTACAGCCGTGATCATTTTTTGTGTATCAAATAGATATTAGAACACACTTTCCACCATACAGTTTCGATTATAAAAAGCGGGAAAATGTGATTTTGTATTTCGAAACTGTATGGTGGAAAGTGTGTTCTAATATCTATTTGATACACAAAAAATGATCACGGCTGTACTTTTTGCTGATATATTACATACATATGTTCCATTTAGTTAAACAATATAAGAATATTGTAGTATGTACCACAAAAACGTATATTTTCTATAAAAAATCATAACTCAGAAAAAAAAATCTTCGCTATTAGAGATTTGGGTTGATTGTAGTTCAAAGTGTCTCTTTCCCGATAAAAAAGTTTGAGACAAAAAAAAAATACACTTTTTGAGAAATTAAATTTAAAAAAAATTTGCACTTTTTGTTTATTGTTAAATAAAAAATTTTAAATAATGAAAATCAATAATTATATCATTCTATCTTGAAGTGACACGAATTACTGACATTTGAGTAAAAACATTGTTGGAATCTATTAAATTTTGACAAAGTTATGGGCATTTAAAAAAAAATCTCACTGTCAATTCGAATAATCGATTTTTGCCTGAAAAACAAAATCGCGTTTAATTCGGCCGAAAAATTTTTCCGAGCCAAAAGAAAAAATACGTGTCTCATTATTTGGACCAACAAACAATGTATTTGAGTTTGGTCGAAATTAAAAATCATGCTCGTACCTGACCGGTTGTCTGGAAATGGAAAGCATCTTAGATATATCTTTCCACTTTTCTGTTGACGGTATGGGCGCCATTCGCGGACCGCACAATACTTTTGCTTACATTTTCTTTTGAGAAAACCTTTCAACACTGTTGCCAACTTAGTGCTTTTCGCACTACAGTTAGTGCGTATTCAAAAAGCGTAATTCTTGAGTTTGGTGCTTGGTGCGTTTTTGGTGCTTTTTTGTTTGTTCGAAGACACCAAATTTGTAACTCTTAAAAAAATGGAAGCAAAATTTACAGCAATCGTAATGCTGGATTTCCACTAGGCATTAAATGGCAAAAATGTCAAATGATAAATTTGGGCATTAAAAAATATTCGTGTCATTATGTTAAAAAATTGTCATTATGTTAATTTCCACGTGGCATTTTTTTAAATGGCATGTACTTATTTTTTGTCATTTCTAGTGGAAATTCGGCACAAGTGTTGTAAGCAGCTTTACAAAAATAAAAACAAAATCATTGAACAATGACAATCATAAGCAAGAGAGGATATGTTTGCCAACAAAATATGTGGGAGCACTTTCAATCAAGCCAGAAGAAATCGACCGTCGAGCGAGGAACATTGAATGACTATGAAATTTTGTATGCATATAAAGTCCATTAAACAATCCAATAAAAATTTGGTGCTTTATTCAAGAAAAACCGCAATTTTTTCGGGTTTTAGTTCTTTTGCAAAACTTGACAACACTGCCTTTTTTCGATTCTTCCTATTTTTCTTCTTGAATTCATCTTTGCTCTCTTCTCTTTGTATTTGATGACATCAGCCCCGGTTGCTCTCAGCTCGATTGGCGCAATCTACTATTCCATCATTCTTGTTTCTGTAGCTCTGAGCAAATAACTTCAGTAGTTTCAGCTACTACACACGATATGGAGCTAATACCTCAAGCAAAATACAATGCTAACCAAGTAAAGGCGCTGCCAGTCCCAAGATATCTAAATACAAAATAAGTTAATTAATATACTTTTACATTTGTCTTTATCTATCTTGATTCGTTATGGCTGTTACAAATAACCGTTATGCGATCAAAGTTATAACACCGTTGTGCACAAGTGCGCTCGGGTATAAAAATGGTACCAGGGCAAATGGAGTCCAAATATGTTAGCTGACTTCTGCTTTTTAATTAATGGTGTTTTCGTTTTTACCAAAAAATGTTGCCCTTGCCCGGTGCAATATGTGTTTGATGTTAAACTCAACCCTGTAAGAGTGCATGTTTTTGACTTTTTTTATTATCCAGCCCACGCATTTCATAACATTATCGTTTTAAGCAAACCATCTGATTTTCAGGTCAACCATCTCTCCTGACAAAGCTTCAAAGGCCAGAAAATTTACCTTTTTTGCCTTACAACAGTGTGACATTTTAAGAAACAAACACAAAGTTTTCTCACAGTTTTCCCTTATTTTATAAACGCACACGAAAGGAGAAAGGGCAATCAAAATGCGAAATTTTTTGGTAGAAAAGAAATTACCATAAATGCTGTGCAAAAGAAGGCGCCTGAATTATTTTAGTAATGTATAGATTGTAGTTGTAGATACAAAATAACCCTTTCAATTTCATTAGCTTTTTTTAAGGTCAGTTTTGTGCACCAGTTTGTGAATTCTTTTCTATACTCGTAATAAATACATAATATGTATGTACATATATGTATAAATCAGGGTTGTTGCGAATATGCGCATTCGCAACAGCGGAACTTCCGCATAAATTTTAACATTCGCTTTCGCAATAATCAATGCGGAGCTTTTGCGAATGCGAATATTGTGCAAGTGCACTGATAAACCGTATATCTAGCAAACAAAAAATTGTAGCCAACATTTTTTACCTGTGGAGATGCTACGGTAAGACTGTCCCCTTCTTTCGTAATTTAAAGTCAAAGAGTAAGATAATAGTAAGTATTTCCAGCGGAAATGTTCAACGGCTGGCTATAAAGAATAATAATATAAAGTCGAATATTTGCGCGTTAAAGGATTACCTTTAATTAGGTAAGAATTATGTAACTATCGAATATTATTTGTCAAAGGTCTGTTGAAAATACTGGATGCATCGCTAGTTCTTTTCTACTTTTTCCTAGAAAAGTGTAATTATTTTTTCTCTCATAAAACATATTATGCTTAAGTTCCGTGTTTCCTTTTATTAGTGTTTCAGCTCGAAAACAAAAACATTTATCTTAATTTTGTGTAAATTGTCAAAATTAGCACGCATCGAAATAAAGATGAAATGATATGTAAATAAGTTGACAGCCAAGTTCAAAAATTAAATAAGAATTAATTCAAGGTGAATTTTATATCTATTGAGGAACGGGCATGTAACATATCGTTAGTATAGCATAGAAAGGGCTTAACTCACATCGTCGCTGAAATACAAAAAGCCGTAACTAACTAAAAATCCAAAATTATTTGTTTGATTGATTATGATGCATTTCATCGAATCATAAGTCCCCACATCGTTTTAGGCAATACAAAATTTTAGTTAGTTGTGGTTTGTTTGCGTTCATTCGCCAATCAATATTTAAATCAATATAAATCAAAAGTTAATTTTTCTTAGTGAGGTAGTCGCTTTGCCTCTCTCATCTCGCCATTTGACATTCATAATAGAAAAAACTCTTTATGTGAATGCCGAAGTTGCAGGTATAGAGAGCAGGAACGAAATAATTTTAAATAAATTTGGTAATTCATTCTAAGTATTTTTAAAAATGTTAAATTTTTTCTTGCAACTAACTGAAATATATTAATATTTATAATTAAAGAAATATAGTTTTTTCCAACAGTATATAGTACGCAGTCCGAAAAAATAGTACAATACTATATATTATAGTACAGTTGGCAACCCTACTATAAGCACACATTTTTCAAACCAGTCACAGAAGACAGGATTAAAAATTAGTTACAAAAACTAAAATCGAAAGACGCTGATGACTTAACAGGTTCTCCAAATTCTGAGACAACCAAAAGAATTGGTTCTCCAAATTGAAACACAACGGTGCTTAAACAACGATCTTGCCATGATGCTAGATTGTGAAGATGAAAGTCAGGAGGATACATCCGACATTTGCAGTCCCCATGGAATTCTCAACAAGGAATTATTGCACCGTAATAAGAAAAGAAATGTAACTGAAAGTCCTCTCAACCGGTGCAGCGCCAATCGTAAAGAATTTACAATTATGTCAGGTTTCAAGTTTTTCAAGTTCGTCGCCTCGAGCGAGTAGTTATTTAGTGTCGCAAGTTTTATTTACGACCCGTTAGGAAACAGGCTGTAAACCGAAAAGGCAGCAAAATTACTCTTTCTTAAATGCAATGCTCCAATTTTTTAATTAAAGTACTAAGTAAAAAAACAGTATTAAAGATTACTAACTTTTCCATATTTTATTTACCTAAATCACCTAATGTACTTACCAAAATTATTTCTTAAAAATATTTGACGTTCGCATTCGCATCCGCATCCGCGGATGTTAGCTGTGGAACATCCGCATCCGCATTCGCATCTGCGGATGTCTAAAATTCCACATTCGCAACATCTCTAGTATAAATACATAATATGTGCATGAAATTAAAAAAAAAAATTAATAGTGCGTTCATCCCATGCAAGGCGTTTGGCCAAGCTTTTGTAACAATACTTGTGTTATAAAACTTATTCATATGAAATGCTACTCATATAAATAAAGTTTCAATTAAAAAAAAACCTCAGTGAAAAAGCGTGCGTGATTAAAATACTAAGCATCGTGAGCGTGCGTGAACGTGATCGAAAAATATATAACAGAACGTGTGTGCGTGATTTACAAAACCATCAACCTAAACCCAAAATCACCCACGCGCTCATCTCTAGTACAAACACAAACTGACCGGGTGCTAGCGACGCAGAAGTTCGGTAGCTTCGCACACACCATTTGTAGGTGAAAGCCGAGTGGTTCCGTGAGATTCATTTGTGCACCACTGGTCTAGATTGATCACGATATAACATAAATAAACGTATTTACATATTTTTTTTTTATCAGTACTAAATATTAAATATAAGCGTATTTAGTTAGTTTCTATCGTTGTAACGAATTTGGAATTTTTTGGGACTGTTTCGGAATTTTCTGGATTTCGGGATCCTCGGAACGATTCGCTATTTTCGGAACCATTTCGGAATTTTCGAGACTAATTTCGAATTTCCGAGATTCTCGGGGCTATTGATTTGAGTTGAGGTGAAAGTACTTGATGTATTTAGCGTCTGCTACTTTAGTATATAGCAAGTCCTAAATACCTAAGTTTGTTTTACTTGAGTGTTTAGATATCTCAAAGGTATACAAACTAATACTTTAACCACAAAAGTACTTGTGTAAGTATGTCCATCACTGTAATAAAAATACATTGCAGTAAAATAACCTTTAAGAAATAGGAAGTAAACCCTCTTTATTTAATATTAATTTACTTTTTCCAAAATTAACTAAGTTTGAATTTCACAGAACTAAAAATATTATTATTTATCATACATACATATGTTTTTAAATCTCCATATATTTTGGCAGAATGTGCCAGTTTAAATTTCACCTAGTGATCTCTGTTACATGTATATTAGTTTTTAATTTTACATTCTGATTCTTTATTATCCTTGTCAATATCAAGAAAAGATCCGAACTTCAATGCGCGACTTTCTGACCATCTTTTGTTCTGCAATTAAAAACCTGTATTTATTAGAAACAAACTCCCAAAGCCCACCTGAGTAGCGTTTCATTTAAAATAAACAATCAAATATAACTTCAATTCGAAACTTAAACAATAACAAATCAGACAAAAGTATAGTCCAAAAAGATAAACTAAAATTTTTGTACATATAATATTTAAATATAGCGAAAAACAAGAAATAAAAAAGTCTAGCTCAAATAGATAAACTAAAAACTTTGTACATATAATATAGTGAGTGACTCATTTTTTATAACAAAAAATAAATATCTTTTGGTGGAACTTTTATAAATGGCGCTGTTAGTTTCGGTCTCTGGTCAAAATAAGTATACTGATATGTATGACCATGTCGCACAGAACGTTTAAGTTTCAACGTAAAGTGAAAACATTGCTAACCCCCATATTTTTACGCGCATTAGAAAGCACCTGCTTTCCAAAGCATTCATCGTGGCGTGTTTTTTGCACGCAACGCTTTCCGGACGTCAGCAGCCAGTTATACTTGTATTTATCTCCGCAAAACTTTTTCACGCGTAGAAAACTACCAAAGGAACTCAAATGTAAGTTTCTTTAGGAGCGGATGATGGCTAACTTCAGCATACACGTAGTTTGCCCTAAATTAAGATACAGGTAGTTTTCCGGCTATTATGTTTTCAATAAAATAACTTAGAGCATTTCCTTTCTTCGTGAATATTTGTAAGAATATTTGTACAAGGTCTAATTTAAATTTTCTAGCGATCAGCAAAACGTGTTTTGAGAAATTTATTGACCGAGTTTAGCTGGACTAAGTAAAAGTTCCGATTCAAATGCGTTTTTGGATTGATTTTGTTGTGGATCATATATGTTGTCAGGTGATATACTTATGTTGGAAGCAGCGCTGGCATTAGGTGATTGATCCCTTCCTGGTAACTTAGTTTGAATAACTGTGGACTGTGAAGGTGATAACTCCGGAGAGCCTTCTGATTCACTGTCAGAATTGGATGGAGGAAAGGGGAACATAAATCTGGTGTTCAAAAATTTGGGCATCGATATCTGGGAATTTTTATTATTATTTGATTCAGTTATCAAGTTTTTCTCTGATGCGACCTTCTCATCAATTTGGCCAGGAAGATAAATTGACTCTGCTGATTGGCATTTGGATTTGCTTGTAATAATAGGTGTATTCGAGGCGCTAATATTGGTATTTGACTTGTTCAAAGATAATAAATTGGACGCCATATTGGATTTTGGCTCTGACAATGGGTTAATAACGCAAATTTTTCGAGATACAGTGGGTGTGGGAAGTGCTTCGTTATGAGTGAATCCAGATGCATTACAAGTTTCGTTTTCAGCAGCAAAGTTTGTTCCAGGTATTACGGATAATGCAAGTCCGCTGACAATAGTCGATGACTTAATTATAGACAACGAAGTTTCCATTAACAAGCCTTTGTCGTTTGCATCATTTTTGGCAATGAAGGGTGCCTGCGGAATAATTTTGTGGTTCAATGCCATGCGTGTCCGGGACAATTTGCTTGTTGGACTGGCTGTTACTTCTTCTGGTATTGGCATTGATGGCAACAAAGTATTTTGTTGCTCCAATGACGCTGTGCACTGAGCATCTATATTAACATTTGATTCTGTTGACTCATTCACTCTGGATTCAGGCTCTTCTGAGCTATAGACCATGTTATATAGCTTGGCATTTTGTTTATAAATCATATCGGAAGTTTCATCGCAGCTAGCAGTCTTCATAAAAATGCACTCTGAAAAAATAATTGTTTTTTATTGAGCTCAAAAGATAGTTAAATCCTACCGCCAATGTTTTCTGGCTCTTTGATTATTGGAACTACCCGACTCGATGAGGATTTCTGCTCATTCTGCATAAATAAAGATGTTGTTGCTATTTGTCGTAAAGCTTCCATTCCTTCGTTTAGTATTTTGTTACTATTGCGTTTGTTTGCAAGTGAATATGGCTGAAATATAAACGATATATTTAGAGAGTAATGGAACAAAGGATTAGTTATGTTAATTAAATATGTATGCCTACTAAGGGTGGGCTTTAGTAGTCAGCCGCACCTTGTGTTTTAAGAAAACCAGGTGGAATTAACAAATGAAACTTGGTCAGGATGTTAAGGGAGGTATCCTCTAAAACATGTATAACTAAAAAATATAAACAATATCATTGTTTATAAGTTATTTGTTGTTAAAATTTCTTACGTCGTTCCACTTGGTTTCCTTAACAAAAAGTACATTTGTCGCATACTTTCATATATATAAAGCCACATAACACTGTACTTAATACTTTACACACTTTTATTTTATTTTATCTTGTATATAAATTACTTTAATTCAACTTTTATCGACTTGTAAATTACATTGAATTGCATCCATATTTACAATAACACATGGTTGCAAACTGACACATAACATGTGTTGCCATATTGTACAAAACAATACATACAAAGAAGGCAATGTTTAAAAAGGAATACAGGGGAAATCAATACAAAATAAAATGAAAATTTACCGCTACTTTTAATCTGGGCATGTATTATTATCAATGAGGGTTTCCGGGTCACGAACCCCTGTGCAAAAAGTATTGCCCATGACGTAGGCGGTGTTGGTCCCGCCCGATTTGATTGCTTTAAGTTCGGTCGAAAGGCGCCGATGCGGAAAAGCGTTCTAGGCAAAAGTGCGGTACGGAAAAATTTATATTGGGATCGATAGGGGTCTTAGTCCTGATCATAACCATAAGAGACATCACTGGGGCGGCAGCCCCAGGAAGGAATTCTTGTTCCAGAAGTACTGTGGATGGTGTAATAATTTATACACTTTCAAATTATTATTTACCCCCTCTTAGTCTACACCCCTTCAATTAAGTGAAAGCATAACGGGATAGTTTTGCAGTTACTTATTTGCATTCATTTACTTATTAACAAGCTCGAAGGTGGAATACATTTCTAAAAAGATTTATTTTATAAAATGGACTTTACTGAAAATGGTAATATACATATTTTAAGTATTAAAAATATATGCTGATTTCCATTTTTTTATTCAGAAGATGAACTTCCTTCGCTTCAAGCGCTGGAATTCGGCATTCCAACGTGCTTTCGGCCGCTGAAGCATCTCAAATGTGGAATTTAATTAGGGTGTTTTTGGAATTGGGCACCCACGAGCAGTGTATTGAATTTTGCGAGGCAAATGGCTTATTATTACGCTCGCGGTTGTGCCCCATTCACAAGATCCCCATGAAAATAAATTTTCCGGAAACAATACCGCAGGCAGCTTTCGCTGCAATAAGGGGTCATGTCGAAGCAAGGCACGGATTTCCCGGACAGCAGGGACCTGGTTCGAAAGTTCGAAACTTTCGATGCCGCTGACATTTTTTTTTAATGTATGCCCATGCTCAGCATTGGTCACAAGCCGCTGTGAGGCTCGAAAATTATTTAAACGAGAGCACATTTTCGAGTTCTACTCTAACTGACTGGTACAACTACTGCCGAGAGGCAGTAGTATTATATGAGATCGATCATCAAGAGGAGAGAGGTAAAATTGGAGGTCCGGGGAAGATCGTCCAGATAGACGGATCGAAATTGGGGAAGCGAAAGTATAACAAGGGTATGTTGTCATTATCTATTGCTTTTTATTTCAATGAAATAAGTATAGTATTATTTTTATATTTTAGGACGAAGAGTCGAGGGTCACTGGGTCCTTGGTATGGTGGAATATGTGAGCGACGACCTTAGGTTAGAGGTATGTCCGGATAATGTGCGGTCCGCAGAGGTGCTCATACCCCTGATCCAAAAGCATGTGATTCAGGGTACAATCATTTGTACGGATTTTTGGCGCGCGTATGACTGCCTTAATGATCACGGGTATGAGCATCGTAAGGTCAACCATAGCGACCCAGACAACCCATTCGTAGCGCCAGACGGGACCCACACCCAACGCATTGAACCCCAATGGAGAGTTGTTAAACGATTCCTCTCCAAGGATAATTATAACAACCCTTCCAATTTTGCCGATCTCCTCTTTGAGTTCATGTGGCGCAGAAGAATCGCTCGTAGACACGAGGATCCCTTTCTCAAATTATTGGATGCAATAAAGTATACCTATAAGCCATAATTGTTATGCTTTTTAAATTCTACTTAGTGAGGGTTATAATCCCTAAGTGGGGCCGAAGGCCGCCTACGCAGAAAGGTGTTCTCTGCAAAAGGTGTTCAGCTCCTTTTCTTCGCAAAACAGAAAGGAGAATTCTACTGCCTGAGGGTTACAATCCCTAAGTGCGGCCCGTAGGCCGCCTACGCAGAAAGGTGTTCTCTGCAAAAGGTGTTCAGCTCCTTTTCTTCGCAAAACAGAAAGGAGAATTCTACTGCCTGAGGGTTACAATCCCTAAGTGCGGCCCGTAGGCCGCCTACGCAGAAAGGTGTTCTCTGCAAAAGGTGTTCAGCTCCTTTTCTTCGCAAAACAGAAAGGAGAATTCTACTGCCTGAGGGTTACAATCCCTAAGTGCGGCCCGTAGGCCGCCTACGCAGAAAGGTGTTCTCTGCAAAAGGTGTTCAGCTCCTTTTCTTCGCAAAACAGAAAGGAGAATTCTACTGCCTGAGGGTTACAATCCCTAAGTGCGGCCCGTAGGCCGCCTACGCAGAAAGGTGTCATCTGCAAAATGTGTTCAGCCTTCTTCGGCAAGACAGAAATAATAATTCTACTAAGTGAAAATTCCGAACTTTGCTTTTATTATTAAAAATTCCAGTCTGGTAGCACCAAGTTGTATGTTATTTTGCTATCTTATTCATCGTTTATATGAAAACTTTAACAATAAATTATATAAGAACTATAGGGTTGCTAGAAAAAAGGAGGTATTTTTGAAATCAGGCGGTCCTATTCTACCCCCCCTCATTCCCCCTTTTTCTAGAATTTGCCGTCCGTCTACTAAAATATTCCCCCTAGTAAAGTTACAAAATCAAAAGCAGAGTTAAACATTGGTCGCGTTCATAAGACGTAGCTGTTTAGCTCATCTGCTACGAAACTGCTGGCAACTGTTGAACCCAACAATTAAGTCTTAGAAACGGCTTGATGAATATGCTGCCAAATGAACAGCTGATAAACGAAATTGCAACAAATAGAGATAGTTGCGCCGATACTATTTAGAATTCAACACTGAGCGGCCGCCGTGTTAAAAAAATCGTTCAATGTTACAATGAATTAAACAGTGTAAAATTATATAGCAAACCTCTTAAAAACATATATTCAGAAATGCATTATTATTATAAAATATTTTTGTTACTTTATCACGTCAGTAATAATAAATCAGCTGTTTAGGCTAAGCCCAACACGTTGAGTTCAGGTAGCCTAAAAATGTTCCGGTGGAAAAAATGGCGGGAAGTTGCCAACTGTTGGGCTGAGCGTAACTACTCAACTGTGCGTTTCTAAGACAAATAGCCAACTGTTGGGCAACAGCTACGTCTTATAAACGCGCCCATTGATATGACGAGTAGGGACACGATATCGAGCCGAAAGTATCGATATGGTACTCATTTAAAGTATCGCTTTAAAAATATCGGGTACCCATTAATATCGGAATAAAAACACTCGAAATTCCAAATATCGATACCAAAAACCAAAAAATTTATCTGAATATAGGTCTCGCATATAGGCCGCTGGGGTGTAGTGATTAGAAGTGCCCAAACCTTTACAATGAAAAACAGCTTCCCATAAAGTACAATCGCCATTCAGAGTCGACATAACACTGTAGGCACCCCCTTTGTTTGTGCACTGAAATAAACAGACTTGTTTTGAATCAAGCAGGGACCGCAAATAACGATTATCCTTTGAAATTTCAACTCAAAAAATCACGCGGAAAGAGAAATGCTAGGTGCATAAGGAGTAAACCAATATATTTCTTATTACTCGGAGCACCTTCAGCGGCACTGATTTTAATTTTTTAAATTTTACTTATAAAAATCAAGTTTAATCATTATATTTTGAGTTTTATTTTTTACTCAGGAAATAGTCGTTATGTTTTGAGTCATATTTTTTGCTCGGAAAATAATCGTTACGTTTTAAGTTTTATTTTTTGCTCGGAAAATAATCGTTATTTCTTGAGTTTTATTTTTTGCTCAGAAAATAAAACTTAATTTTTGCGTATGCGTATGCGCATGCGTGAATAGACAGGGGGCGGCTGCATTGAACCTTTAACGCCACTGTGGAGTGGGTAATGAAAATACAGATACCAGGGCAGAAACAAAGAGAACCACATTTCTAAAGAAAAAGTGCAAAAAAGCGCATACGCATACGCAAAAATTAAGTTTTATTTTCTGGGCAACAAATAAAACTCAAGAAATAACGATTATTTTCCGAGCAAAAAATAAAACTTAAAACGTACCGGTTATTTTCCGAGTAAAAAATAAAACTTAAAACCTAACCATTATTTTCCGAGCAAAAAATAAAACATAAAACGTAACCATTATTTTCCGAGCAAAAAATTAAACTTAAAACGTAACCATCATTTTCCGACCAAAAAATAAAACTTAAAACGTAACGATTATTTTCCGAGCAAAAAATAAAACNTAAATTATGATTGGTCACAATATGAAAATGTTGGAAAAGTAACTGAAAAGTGGGAGTGTCTTAGATTTAAGGAGAAATGTAAAATTTATTATAAAAGCAGTGTTTGTGCACTGAAATAAACAGACTTGTTTTGAATCAAGAATCGGCAGCATTGCCTCCTTTTTTTCTAACTTGTCTCATCAATCAAAATAGGCCTTGAGGCCATCATCCTTTTAGCGTGGCTCGCTTAAAAGCCAAAAGTTAAAAATACTTAAAAATAATATAAAAAAATAAACATAAAATGGCGATCCTGCCAAATTGGCACTACAATAACTCTAATAAAAACAAATAAATTTAAATAAAAATTATATTCATGACGGAGCAATATTCAAAAGAAGATCTGGACAACCTGTTTGAACAGCTGAACCACCCAAGATCCTACNTACAGAAAAAGACAAATTAAAAACGATAGCACAGAGCATAGTGCACCAAAACGAAAAACCCGAGGAGGTAAGGCGGTGAAACTACGAAGGAAGATTGGTGAGCTTCACAGGGTAATTCCATTAGCTACTGGGGAGAACAAACGAAAATTAATTGCGGAACTAATAGAATTGAAGAAAAATCAACATAAACAAGATAACAACTGAGGCACGGGTTGGACAATTGTACTTCCAAAAGCCAAAGAACAGCAGCAGAAAATCACCATGAACAGCAATAACAACA